TATAATAATATAATTTGAATTTTTTTATTTAATTTCACTTTATATAAAAAATATAATTACTATTTATATAATATAAAAAAAATACCCACAGCTGCGTGCAATGACGGCAATAAATTCTCTAGGAAGTATAATACGCCCAATTCAGTGAAAACCGCATCCGGCACTCATACACACTACAAGCAAATGTACCTATACTGACGGAAGTTTTCCGTCTGTATAAACCCTTTTTCCGTCAGTAAAGACCCCAAAAACTATTCCGACGGACAAACTTTCCGTGGGTAGAAACCTCGTCAGTATAAGGTCTATACCGACGCCCAATCTGTCTGTATAGACTCTTGGGATCTATTCCGATGGAAAAAACTTCCGTTGGTATAGACCCTAAAAAATTTTTTAAAATTTGCCGTGGGTATAGACCCTTACCTTTACAGATGAACAATTCCGTTGGTATAGATCCTTTTTTTTAAAAAAAAAAAAATTGATAATTTACTTTTATTTTATCATTTTCTCCTGCACTTATTACTAATGCCATTTTTTTGACCTACAAAATCAATCCCTCCAAAGCACACAACCATTTGCACAAATCAATCCCTCCAAAGCACTAATTAATCCCTAACCATTTGCACACAAACAGGAAAGAAAAAAACACAACTTTGAAATTTCCTAACCATTTGGACGAATCAATCCCTCCAAAGCACACAACCAATCCCACCAAAGCACACAACCGCTCAAGCTAAGCTAATCTATGCAGATCAAACTATTCAACACAATAAAAAAGGCCATAAAAATTTAAAAAAAATCAGTTAATTGATGCACTAAATTAGCAATCATAAAAGAGGAATTCCATAGATATAAATCAGTCTCAAAACAACAGATCTAAGTGAAAATAGAAATTGCAGAATCCAAAGAAGTTCAATTAAATGCTTAGTGGCAGAAATTACAGATCCAAGAAGAGATACAAACATGCCTTTCAATCCCTTTGCCCATCGTTTTCTTCATTACTTTCATTTTGGCAAGACATAAGGTGTTGGCTTGAATGTGAAGAGGAACGATTAATTGGTGAAAAACCTTGCCCACTATTAGCATCCACAACCTACAATTCGGTAGAAAGAAATTCAGGGGTAACCAAAGAAATGATATATCATATGCAAACCTCACAAGTTTCAGCTCAATCAAATAGAACTTAATATTATAAAATATATATACATTAAGACCTTTTAAATCTTGTAATTAGTTTCTATTTACCAATTACGTTTCATCAACCATGACATATCATTTAAGCCGACAATGTTCATGAGATCTAACAAAGCAATAATCTAGAGGAATGGAAACAAAACCACTTTTGCAGTTTTGTGAATATTTTTCCCTGGAATTCTGACCTTCCTCATTCTCTATCAAACACATTTATCATCCCATGGTACAGTTCAATGATTGGTGCATCATTAGGAGAAGCAAAAAAAGAAAAAAAAGACATACCATTTGCATCTGTAGCCACAGCAGCTTCATCTGACTAAAAATTAAACTCTTAATCTACTCGATCTCTTTCTCTACTGTCACAAATCTCTCAAGAACTTCTGATGTGCTAACAAATCTCACAAATCTGTTAAAAAATATAAATGATCAACAAATTCACAACAAAGGTTGATTAAAGAAAAAAAAAAAACACATTGCGATTAAATTTTAGTGATTGCAGTCAATCTAAAATTCAAATCTATAACTTTGTTCTTGTAAATATCTTCCCTTTCTTTGCATAAATAGTAAAAGGCCATTCTATGCAAATGTGACTCCAAAGCATACATAACATACATAACATACATACCTTATATAACATTACCATGAAACTTTTAACAAAACATCTTAATACCTGGTAAGCCAACTACCTCGTATGACACAGAACAAGTGCAACAACTTGCCCTGGAGTAGGATCGATTTGTTGCAGTGTTGAGAGAACAAAAACTGCAGTCTTACCCATCCCAGATTTAGCTTGGCAAATGACATCCATGCCCAGTATAGCTTGTGGAATGCACTCATGTTGCACTGGTGAAGAACCAAAGAAAATTGTATCGAAGGAACCCTTGGTGAGTAAAATATAACTTTCCGATCCTCTTAATTGAAACTTTTAACAAAACCACAATACTGCTCCAAAATCAATAGGTTATAGTGCTGCATAATATTACCTGCCAAAAAAATACATCAGCCAAGATATCAGATAAAGGGCCTTTGCCAACAACCAAAAGCAACATAGTCCCATAATAAAAATAGTTAATAGACAAACAAGACAAACAAGGAAAACAAGTACATACGGCAGCGTTGGATATAAAGGCACAGTTAAACTATTAACAAAAAAAAGGGCGATAAGTGATTCGGTAATTTGCCTTCAGAAGGATGCTCAAAGCCAGAGTCCACAATAGCACGAAGAAGTTCTGGCTTCAAAAGGAAATCCCTGAATCCTGAGCTGTGTATTCCGACATATCCCCTAAAATAAAGTAAAATAAAATAAGCAGAAAAATCAAAACTTTGTTACAACTTGTAACAACCCTTTTGCAATAAATTCTTATTAGAAAAGGAAAGAAGCTAATAACAACTATTACAATTAATAAAAATTTTCCAACTTACTTCTTGGCGGCCTCACCATTGACTTTGCCTGTAGCAGAGTCGGGAGCTTTTTCTTCTTCTTCTTCGTAGTCGAGAAGCTCTTCCTCGTAGGCATCATTCTCCCTTGTTTCTCCCATTTTCTAAAACATACATCACCCACAAATTTAGGGTTAGAACTTCCACAATCCATTCGAACACCAAGCAAGAAACGCAAATTAGGACTTTTGAAAATAGATCTTAGAGAACAGCAAGCAAATGGGAGAAAGGAAGAGTGAAGAAGACGGGAGAAAGGGGAATACCTGAGGAAACAATGAAATCGAGAGATGACAGATGGAAATAGTGGTAGAAAAAGGGAGAAATGGGTTTCAAGCAGATCCAGAGCAGCAACCTCTCTCCCCTGTAGCACTTATTCTCCAACCCCAAATCCCTTGATTATGCAAAACCCTACAAATTGTCAGTCAAACTCAAACAGGAGTTAAATTATCTTCCTAAAAACCATAAAGTCTCAGTTTTGTTAGGGTTTTGAGACAAAATGTTGACAGGCAGACCGAAGGACGCGAACATGCAGTTAGCGTTGGCGGAATAGAAATCGGGACTATCGCTGCGTCCTCCTGCAGTGGGATCGACGGCGATTGTGGAGTATGAGAAGCCAGTGTTAAAGGAGGAAGAGGATGACCTAGAGGTCAAACTCCGCCACATCATCGAGAATGTTCCAATCCGCGTTAGCAACACCTCTGGCAGAGAGAAGAAACGAAGAGGATTAGGAAGAAATCACCCAAAATCAACACAAACTCACCTATTGACCTCCTGTCGTTGATGGATTAGAGTCGAGGAAATGAATTTGGCAATTAGGTTCGAATGGGTTTTAAGTTTTAGCAAAATCAACTCCAAAATTTGGAGATTTGGGAGAGGGACGGAAATAATTAGGTCTACCAGGGGAGGGAAACTCTGAATTTGGGGAGGGAAAATTGGGAAGATGTGGGGGATGGGAAAATGTATACAGATGGCTAAAATTGAAAAGAAAAAAAAATATGTTTAAGAAATAGAGAATTACACAGACAGTGTTAATCCGTCTGTATAGTCACAAGTATACAGATGGATAATGATTCTTCGTTAGAATTGATATACTTGGTACAGACGGATAATTAGAATCCGTTTGTATAAATCCATCTTATACTAACGGATAATTTTTCCGTTGGTATAGATCTATATATACTAACTACTTACATTTTTCCGTTGGTATAGATGGTTTTATACGGACGGATTCATGTCCGTTAGTATAAACTTCCGTTGGTAAATGGCATTCTGTTTGTAGTGACATCAGTGTGTTGGTGGAATTAATACCTTAATTAGTACTAAAATATAAAGTATAATAATATTATTAAAATATCCCTTATTCCTAATCTCT